GGCCCTCCTTATCCGGGATATGGAGCTAGCAGAGAGGGAAGGGCAGGGCCTTAGGAGAAGCAGAGCGGCTGAGGACCGCTCCCTGTGTCACTCTTGCCCTGCCTGCTCCTGCCCGGCGCAGTCTCTGGAGTTTCCTCAGTTCTTCCATCGCAGTCAGAGCAGCCCTCAAGCCGGCACCCTGCCCTAAGAACTCGGAAGGCCACAGCCTAGGTAGGCCCCCTCCTGTGAGCCGGCTGAGGCTCGAGCTCCTGGATGGCCCCCAGTGGGAATGGAGCCTCCACTCTTGGGGGGTGTCTCCTATATTCCACATTGTGGCCTCCTTGCCAGGCAGATCTGCCCTCCAGTGGGGTCTGCCTGGGAGTTGGGGAGGTCCTGGCTTCCTCCAGAGAGAATTTTGTCCCACAGCTCTTGGGGATATTTATGGGTACATTTGGGGAGACCACAGTAGGACCAGTCAGTCTCAGGGCCCTCCTCATGGGGCTTGAACCAACCTGCTCTCTCTGGGGCAGGGCCCTTGGGACTGCCTGAGGACAATCTGGGACACACCATCAGGGCTGACACATGCTAAGGGGAGCAGAGCACTGTGGGCGGAATCCAAGCCATGTGACCTTGGGCAGGTTGTTTAAACTCACTTCCCCTCTAAACTGGAGGTGATACCCAGGGGTCTAAAGCAGATTAAATTTATTCACATAAGCAAAGCAGTTGGGACAGGGCTTGGCACTGCTCTCAGCAACCATCGTCTTACACACTGGAATTTGCTAGTCACAGTTGAGGCCAAGAGTCCCTCTTGACCCCACCTAACAGCTAAGGAGATGATACAGCTGCAGAGATTCCGCTCTGCGTGCTTAACACCGGCCTCCTGGCCTGACAGACACGCAAGGCCTCCTTGAGAGAAGAGGTCTCTAACCTGCTGGGAGGCCCGCTGGGCAGGGGCGGGGCAGGGTGGGGGTCCTGACCAGCATCCCTTAAAGATGCGATGAGCCCTGGCCTAACCAGAGAACCAGCTGGAGGAGAACTCCAATTAAAGGTTATTCCCCTCTTTCCTACCTTGAAATTCCTATTGATTTCCTCCCTAAATAGAAATTCCCATTGATTCCTTGTCTGTTCAGATTAGTGTCCTCGGCTGTAGCTTTCGGTGCATAATATCTTCACACTTCTTCTCCTCGAGCCCCAATAACTCTCCCCAAGGTGACCCTGCCACCACCTGTGGCTTCCAAGCTGGGGAGGGGGAGAGGGTCTGGATCTGACAGCCCCCACCCTTCCTCTGCCCTGGATAAGACAGAGGGCCAGCAAAGATAAATCCCCATTGCACTCAGACTCATCGTACCTGCCTCTGCCTGGGGACCATTAGCCCGCTGCTTTGGGGAGAAGTTGAAGCTGGCATCACTGGCAGGAGGGAGCCTCCTGAGCCAGGCGTGGTGGCGCACTTCTGTAATTTTAGCACTTACAAGGCTGGGGATGGTGTGAGTTCAAGGCCAGCCTGAGCTACATAGGAGACCAAGGTTGGCGGGTGGGGAGAGTTGGAGGGTGAAGTCCAGCCTGTGAGCCCCATGCAGAGGGATGCACCTGTCCCAGATTCTGCCCATATTGGTTGCAAGAGCGGTTTTGCACTTGTCAGGGCTTTTGTGAGCTGGTTGACATCACTCCAGAAGCTTCAAATCAGCTGCAGCAGTATTTATTTGCACCACACACACTGGCAAATGCTGCTGCTTGGGGTCTCTCTCCCCTTTGCTGTTCAGCACTTACCGCTAGCCTGCTCCTGCCTCCCCTTCTGCCAAGGCCTCTCTTTCCCAGCTTGGAGTGCTCATGCCTTTGCCCGGCTGTCCGGGCGTGCGGGGTAAGGAATTAAGAAGACAGAAAGGCACAAGGTGCCCATGTGGAGCTCCAGCAGGGCAGCCGGCTGGGCAGCTCAGGGGTTGGGTGGCCTTGGAAAGCCACTGTGTTTCTGGAGACCTGGTCTGAACCACCCAAATTGTGGCACCACTCGCCCCTGGGAGGCAGGACCGAGCCCGGGCTATTCCTGGGCCAGCTCACCGAATGCCTGTGACATCTCCCTGCCCAGGTACTCGGGCTGTCCTCATTTGACTAGCAGAAAATGAGGACCAGAGAGGTGAGGGAAACTGCCCAGGGTCACACAGCCTGAAAACTGGGGAGCGGGTTTTGAACCTGCTTGGGTACCCACTATGGTAGCCCATCCTGTCCCCAGGCAGACACCTCGATTCTCAAAGGACCCAGTCTGCCGTTCACCAGGCCAAGGCTTCCTCGCCGGGAGATCTGGGTGCGACCCTCCTGTGTCCTGGGTCCCCAGCAGAGGGGCAGAGCCGGGGTGACAGGAGAGAGGACTTGAGAAGTGACTTCTGCTAGGCAGAGCGGCAGGCGCCCAGTCCACCTGGCCCACACAGCACGCCAGGGAGCACCAGGGTCAGGACAGGAGCAGGGAGCAGGAGGCAACCCCCAGCCCACTTCTTAATCTAGCGGGGGTGACTCTGCAGGGGCAGTAACTGCCACAGCCTCTCACGGTTTCCCTGCTTGGCCTCCCTTCCAGGCAAACCATCCCCAGCTGTGAGGTGTGATTGGGGTGACTTTAAATTTGTACAAAAATTACCAATGTTAAAGACACATTGTCATCAGTCTCCCTAAAGTCAGAATGACCATGAAACATTTCGAATCAGCTCAGGACATCAAGGCAGCCATGACAGTGCAACTGAAGACCCTCGTGAAAGAGGACTTCCAGACCTGCTTCGGAGAATGGCAAGAAAGCGGGATAAGTACATTCAAAGTGAGAGGGACTATTCGGAGGAGGATTCATGGCAATGTGTCTTTCACTGTAATACGTTTTTAAAAATTTGAACATTCATTGTGTATTTTGATCACAGCTCGTATACCAGTGGGCGCATAAAAGGAAAGCAAAGAGCCCAGCGACAAGAAAGGACATTTCCTGAGAGCTGTTGTGTCTGACAGTTGTCCTATGGATGTCCCCAGAGGCCCCACAATGTGCGGATGGCTGACACGGTGGGGTGCACTCCGACCTTCAGACCAGGGGAGCAGCATGGGCAAGGCCGTGTAGAAAGTCACAGCCCACTCTGTCCTTAGCATCTCGCAGCGTCGTGTAACACTGCAGGCCAGAGCTCTGGCGTCCCTCAGACCTGAGTTCGAAATGTGCCCTGCCACTTCGTATGCGTGACTGGCAAGTGACATGCCTCCTCTGAGCCAGCATGCCCTGCTGTAAAAATGGGCACGGCAGTAGCAAATACCTTTGTGGCAAGAATCCAGTGATCCCTGGCTAGTGAACGAGCTGGCACTGCCCTGTGGCCCGTGCCAAGGGCTTGGGACCCAATCGCTGTGGGTTTTACCACTTTCCCCACGTGCCACAGCAGGCTCTGCTCCTACCCAACACTGAGCTCTGGCTGCTGGTTGCTCAGCCTCCTGGAAACCTGGGGCTTCAGGCCTGACCCCTGCCTGGGCCAGTCTTGGCCTTGGGGTGACTTCTGCTGAGGCCTGCTGTGGCCTAGAAGTCCTGCACCGTGGGGGTGGTGCCCTGCTGCATCCCGTTGTGCTGGGGCAAGGCTCAGGTCTCCAGAGCCTCTCGCCATGCAGGTTGGAGCCAGTCACCGAGCCCGTGCTCATCTGCTAATGGGAAGAGAATGCCTTCCCGGACCGCCCTAGGGCCTGGGAAAGGGGGGTGAAGGCGTGGCGAGCACTGGCCGAGCGGCTGCCCCACCATTAAGGACGCCGGGCACAGGTCTTTGGGGTAAGGTGTCTCAGTCACTGTAGTCAGAGCTCACTGAGGATTTTCCATTAATGGTCTTATCAGCAACTGAACAAGGCCACTCTTTTTCTTACCTGATGACAGTGGCTTTCATGGTGAGGGGAATCCGAGAGTGAGGGGCAGCTTCCCTGGAGTGCTGCTCAACCTGCCCTTGAGCTTTCTTCCTGTCTTCCTGGTAAATCTCCGTCCAAGTCTCTCCCTATCTGACGTGCAGACATTTCGGTGCCTCGGAAAACCTGATTATTTCCTGATTAGTCACTCGCCAGGGTTAATTCACTTTCCCCATTGATCCCAGCTCCTCAGGAAGGGAGACTCTGCTCGCTTCGTATTGGCCACTCTGAGGCTCCCTGCTCTGGGAGTGGCTTTGGGGTGGGAGGAGCTGGTGCGGATTGGCTGAATTTGAGCAAGGTTCTACCGGATGTCCAATCACGGGAAAGCAAAGGCCATGCACCCGTGAGACCTGGTGTGCTGATATCACCAGTTCTCTTGTGCTTGGCATGGAGGTACCCATTGGGCAGAGTCACAGCCAATGTCCCCGAGTGTACATCCGTGGTCCCAAATGGAAATCGAGCTCCTCTCGGGAGCCAGCTCTTGCTTGGTGAAACTCTCTAGGAAAAGGCTGAAGATGCTTCCTGTGTCCGTGTGTGGCGTTGTAGTGCATTCACCCACTTATCTGTGAGACACTGCCTATGGTGTATCAGCAGCCACTACCTGACCAAGGGAGCCACATAGACCGCTGCTCCTGTGGGGCTTCCCTCCTGGTGTGAGGGGCGGGCAGTAACAAACACCTCCAAAGGCCAGTTCCCATTGCAACCAGTGCTATGATGAAGACTCTCCACCGTCATGTGTGAGTGACTGGATGAAGTCAGGGATGACTTTGAGGAGGTATCCTGAGCCCGGAAGTCAGCCTTGGGGAGAGTTGCGGATGAGCATTCCAGGAGGCGGGAGTAGCACACGCAAAGGTCCTGAGGCAGAAAGGAGCTTGATGGAGTTCAAGAAACAGAAAGGCACGGGCTGGATGCAAGGGCCCCATTTGTTGGGACAAAGCAGAATCTAGGTGCAAAGAGTTTTGCCTTTAAAATTAGGCCGTAAGTGTCTCTCGGGCTTAGAAGAGGCCCAGGGCCCATCAGGACGTCCTCAGCTTCCCCATTTACCTTCACTCATTCAAATTTCATTCTAACTTCCCCTCGGCCTCCTGTCTGCTGCTTCCTCCTTTGTCTGCAGTGGCCAGACCAGGACCCAGCCAGGGGTAGCAGCCTCAGTCCCCAGGAGAACCGAGACCGTGATCCGTGGGTCAGGGCCACCTCTTCCCAGCACGGACATGGAGTGTGATCCCTAGAACAGCCTGCAAACGAGGCATTTGGAGCAAAAAGCCCGTGTTTACAGAGGAGCAGCAAGGTACGTGCCTGCAAACAAAGCAGCTTGTTACACTCGGGCCCCAATAAAAAATCTTCTAAGTGCCTAATTAACAGTTTAGGTAGATATAAAAACATAATGAGAAAAACAATCTGTTTGCAAAAAAAAAAAAAAAAGAAAAAGAAAAAAAAAAAAAA